CTCTCTCACACTGTAGGGTTATTCCACTGACAGCACTAGATTTACAGTCTCTCTGTCTTCCATAGACAGCTGTGTTGTTCTTGCAGAATTCTCTGTCCAGTAACTCTCTAATACATATATGCTTGTAGGTATTACACCAGGTCATTATCCTGTGATAGAATGTTATATTCACTGTTTTGCCATTAATCTGTTCTAACATATTAAACTGATGCAAAGCGTCTGTCCTGATGCAGCGCAGTGCGTGTTTCTGGCTGGGAAGGTTGCTTTGTCTGGAGTGTGTGATGTCAGAACAGGGCCACAGTGATGTAATAGTGGGGTTTAGTGGCACACAGTGTAAGTTCGTATCGGGGACTGGCTGGCGGGTTGTGTGGCGCCCCCATGGGGCGATTGTGTTACAGAGAGGGGTCTGGCTGTGAATAAGGTTCCATTTGGAGTGACTGGCTCAGCTGCAGTCCAGAGATCTCACGAACCCCCTCCTCTCCTGCCCTGGTAACATATTAAACCTCCTAAAACTGCTCCGTAACTCTCACACGCCTCACTGTGAAGCGCCCTTCATCCTCCCGCTGCACACCGAGCAGGGACTGCTGGATGGAGCTGTGCGGATTTTGTCAATGGAAAAAGTCATAAAAAATGACCGGCCAGCGCGGAGAACAGCTGTGTGCAGTAGCACAAGGCCGCCGCCAGATGTCAGTGTTTCCCCACAGTGCAGCGCCTGTCCCCCGCCGAGCCGCTTGATTCAGTAATTAGCGCTCATGAATTATCGAGCAGGAGGGGGCGCTAACGAGGCGCCGCGGGCCGCCGCTGGGGACCGTCTCAAAAATTCATACACCTGCCAAAAACGTAGTGGGTTTTGCAGCGGGAGGGATAAAGGGATTGTCTCCAAATTGTCACACCTGCTGCATTCCTGCAGAACTTAGTCCTGCACTTAAAATAAGAAGTGTGGATTTCTTATTTGCCTCCCTTTGACGTGATTTCACCTCAGTGCCCTGAGCCACAGGAAGAGCACGATCAGGAGTGAGTGCGGACATGAGGCCGCTGGTGGTGTGGAGAGTGTATCATTTACCCTGCTCTCCCTCCCTCCCTCCTCTCGCTCTCCATCCCTCCCTCTCTCTCCATTCCTCTCACTTTCTGTATCCCTCCCTCTCTCCTCTCTCCCCTCGCTCTCTTCTCTCTTCCCTCGCTCTCTTCTCTCTCTCCATCTCTCCCCTCTCTCTCTCCCCTCCCTCTCCTCTCCCCTCTTCCTCTCTCCTCTCGCTCTCCATCTCTCCCCTCTCCCTCTCCACTCTCTCTCCATCGCTCCTCTCTTCTCTCTCTCCTCTCCCCTTCCTCTCTCTCTCCATCGCTCCTCTCTTCTCTCTCTCCTCTCCCCTTCCTCTCTCTCTCCATCGCTCCTCTCTTCTCTCTCTCCTCTCCCCTCCCTCTCCTCACTCCTCCCTCTCCTCTATCTCTCTCCTCTCCCCTCCCTCTCCTCTCTCTCTCCCCTGTTCCTCACTCCTCTCTCTCTCTCCTCTCCCCTCCCTCTCTCTCTCCATCTCTCCCCTCTCCCTCTCCACTCTCTCTCCATCGCTCCTCTCTTCTCTCTCTCCTCTCCCCTTCCTCTCCTCTTCCTCTCTCCCCTCTCTCTCTCTCCCCTCCCTCTCTCTCTCCTCTCCCCTCCCTCTCCTCTCCCCTCTTCCTCTCTCTCTCTCCATCGCTCCTCTCTTCTCTCTCCCCTCTCTCTCCTCTCTCCTCCCTCTCCTCTCCCCTCTTCCTCTCTCTTCTCTCTCTCCCCTCTCCTCTCTCTCTCCCCTCTTCCTCTCTCCCCTCTCTCTCTCCATCTCTCTTCTCCTTTCTAACGCACTGACGAAGCCTGGCACTGTTGCTACAGCAACCGCGGTCTCGCCCCCCCACTCCTCCACTCTGCCACTGTCTCTCGCCGTCCTGTAGCTGCGATCTCCCCTCCTCGCTCCTCTTCCTCGCCCTGCTCCGCTCTTGCGGAGAGTGTGGGTGTGCTTCTCCCCGGCTGGGAGAGTGGAGACAATAACAGGCCGGGCCGCATCGCCATGGCGACGGGGTGTGAGGGCGAGTGAGTCTGGGGAAGCAGGCGGAGGTGGGGGCCCACAGATGGACAGAGCGAGAGAAACAGAGGAGGGGAGGAGAGGAGTGAACAAAACAGACCATTAACCCTTCATACAGGAGAAAACATCTTCATCTTCATCATCATCATCGCTCCTGAACAGACACTCAGTCTGTAACAACACGTCTGCACCTCTGTGTCCTGTGTCAGGGGGACAGTGGGGTTACAGACAGAGACTGGACACTGGAGCTGGAGAGAGGATAGAGTCACCCAGAGCCCCACACTGACACCCTTCATCATCATCAACCTCAGTGCAGTGTTCATGTACTGGAGTGTCCAGTCAGTGTGTCTGTATGAACCCCTCTCTCTCTCAGTGCAGTGTTAATGTACTGGAGTGTCCAGTCAGT